GGCAGCGCGGGACGCGAGGCGCGGGGCGCGGTGAGCTCGCTATCGGCGCGGACGCAAGGTGCACCTTATCGCGCTATTGTTCGCGCCGACAGATTTATAACTTCCCTTTGCCCTCGATAAGGGCCCGTGACCCGTGGGAGCACCTTCTACTTCTAAACTACATAAACAAACTGACGGTCGATCGATTATTTCATCGGATCGGAAGTGTTTAGTCTATTTTTATGAAATAAGTGCATACGTACACGTACTGTAAAGTTGGCGTGATGTTTCAAGGGACACGGGGTGTCGGCGGCGGCGCCGGGCCCGGGGCTGATGTTGGGTACTCCCTTTTTGCGCTGGAAAAAGCAAACACTTATCATGAACAAACAATGAATGTTGTATAAAATATTTTGACAAACAAACGAACTAATATCTATACCAATTATAACGAACACCTTACATGCTACTTATGATTTTACAATCTCTCCAATTATGGTATGAAAACCTGTGAGAAAAATATTTGTGTACTCGATGTTATGTTACTTATTTTACTATTGTTTTGAAAATTTGAAACAATATCAATAGGTTTGAAATGTAAGAGAGTGGGTAGAGCACGGGTAGAGGCTGCAGCAACGTGCATTGCACACATGGGAGTTCTGCATTGGTGAAATAGACTGACGTTACAGTAGACAGCTGCTGGGGCAATATCACACCGACATTGGATTGATTGATAAAAATTTTGTTTTAAAAGTTCACGTGAATAGTATTTTTTTTTTTCAAAATAAGTGATTTCCTTTGCACTTTTTTGTAGTAACTAGATTCATTTTATTACCGAAACATGTAAACACAACTTTAATTATTTATTTGCATGTAATTCCTAATTCTTAAACAAATAAAAATATCATATAACAAACTACAAGAACATAAAATAAGACTTGCTACAGTCGCTTCATGTGAACAGAAATCTGAAGTAGGAACATTCTACGTTTTTCTTATAAATAAGACTTATGGCCTAAAAGAAGTAGGTTTAGAGGGTAAAGGAATTCGTTTTGCTTGTGAAATTGTTAAAACTTTCTTGAGGTATTATTATAAAATTATTAAAAATGGAGCTACGGGGGCACTTAACATCTAGTAACTCTTTCTTAGGTACACCTATGATATTACATTCGGTCGTTTTATTTTATTTTATTTTTCTAATTTAATCATTAAACATTAAATACATGTGTACAAAACGTTAAATTTAAAAATTACCCTTTCTATTTTATATCACATACATTTTTCTCGTCGTTTGGTGTTTGTAAAACGAGCAATATTCGTGTTTGTCTAGCGCGTCACGACCGCGTCTCGGTGACGTGACGACAAGGGGTGTTGCGGCGAGGCGGCGAGGCGACGGCGGAATGCGGCTAACGGTCCTTCGAGCTCCGAGCGTAACGTTCCCAGGCCGGCGCGCCGATCGACGCCTCGAGATAAGCCCCATCTCCTGTACGAAACCCAATAAGCCGTTTCCTCGAAGCTCTCACGAGAGCGCCGCTCGCGCAACAAAAAAAAATATAACCAAAAACGAACAAAAAATCCCCGTGAATAAGGCGGGAGCGCGAAACAAGAATGGGCCCAGTTCTGGGAAGGCTCGGCGCCGGTGCGGTCTTTACGTCCTTTATAATGATCGCTTTTTGTGGAGCGACCCTCGATGCGTTATCGTGGGACCGAGTCCCGAGCGGCGAGCGCCGAACCGTACGTCCCGACGGCTTTGCGATGCGGAGACTCGCCGCCGCCGCCATTACGGATGCCCAAAACGTGTTCGGTCTTCCTCACCAAAAATTATCTATTGGTTTGAGAACTGTTCGTGTAAGGTCGGGTCAGTGCAGCCTTAAGACCGAGTCTCCAATAATATCCTCGTAGCGGCCGCAGCAGGAAAGGAAACGCTTGCAACACCGTGCTGTGGGGGCCGCCGGAAGCGGAGGCGCTGGGGCCGCGCGGGTCCGTGGGCGTCGCAGCCTAATTAATGTACGGTAGATCGTCGACAGTGTGATGTGAGGCAGGCGATGGCGAGTGGGTGCCGACGTCACCGCCGTGACTCAGGCCGGTGACGTCGCATACCTGACTCATTCCCACTCACATTCTCCCGCTAATTTCCTCTACGCGGAATTCTCAGACGAAAAGCGAAATTTCATAGTGCACAGCTTTCGAGTTCGACAACGATACTGTTGTTATCCACGAAAAGTCTAATTCGGTGACTTCGAAATTGAAAAAAAAAAACAAAAACTTATTTTAATAAACATATTAAAGCATAATTGACGAATAACAGCGTATTTCACTACAATGAAACAGAAGCTTGGTAGGTAGAACTTGAGTTCATTCATATAATTTGGAAATGATAAAAAATACACAAGGCTTGTTTGCATTTGATTAGTTTCATGTATATCTAAAACATTAATCATGTAACAAATTAATACAAGGCATTAGAAATAATACTAAAATTAATAAATAGTGTAACCCGTGCGTTAAAAATTGCTATTCTCGGTTTTATATATTTTTTTAATGTTGTATGAAAAACTTGTCATCTCAAACATTTAAGTTTAGTTTTCTTAGTACTGCATTTTCTATTTATTAGTTAACATTTGTAAACTGCAAAATATTTACTTATTTCTTTGTAGACTCAGAGCCATTTTTAATAGGCATTAAGAATCTCATCTGGCAATTAAGAAACAGACAGCCAATAGAGTAGGTTCGCACTAATATATTAGCAATTTCTGCAAAATCTCTCTTATTTTTATAAAATCTTACATGTGTATTTAGGGCCATGAACGCTGTAAAGCGTAAGGCAACATTGATAAGCACTAGAGTTTTATTTAACTATGTTAACTTGTGAAATTCAAAACACATCCTTGTGTAAGTTTACGGAAGTGAAGTAGCTATAGAGCTATAGTTATGGGAGGCATAAAGCACTAGGCAGAGGCAGTCGGCAGCAGAGCGCGGCCGGGCGGGCTGGCGCGGCGGGCCGGCGCGGAGGGCGGCGGCCCGACCGCGGCCGCTTATCATTGCTACTATTCAATCGAGCTTGTCATTTCACTCATAGGTACACAATGTGTTCATAATTGTACTCCCTGCATTACTAGGTATTTTCGCCAGCAACAGATTAATAGTTTTTTTAAAAGTCTTGTTACGAAAATAATTTTTTCAAAGATAAAAAAAATAGGAATCTTAACATTTGCAATTTCAAATGAAATACCAACTATTATCGACATCAATTTCAATGTTTGCCTTGTGGAATAGAAAATGGAAATGCCTAATGGAAAAGATCTGCCTCAAAAGTGAATTCATGAGTAAAAGAGAGAAAATAAAGAAAACAGTTTCAATCTTACGCGACAATATGTAAAATCCATTGAATAAAAGCGCAAAACCACAATTGAAGTCACTTTGCACATAATTTCACAGCTAGCGGACACCGCTCGGTGGAAGTAACGACACTCGCGTTCATGGTAACGTTCGCGTCGCTCGGCGCTCGGCACTCAGCGCGGGCCAAGCGCGGCGGCGGTTCGGCGCTCCGGCGGCGTTCGCACAACACCCGATAATACAAAAAGAAGTCAGAGGTTAAGATGTTATCGATGGAGACATGAATATTCGAAGACGCGAGGGTCACGAGTGAGCGGTCGGCGTAGCATCGCGGCGCGGCGTGAATGGAACGACCGACATTTTATGAATCGAGAGCCGTCGCTCATTGACCTAA